ATCTACTCAGTATTGTTTCTCAATGAACACATACTTGGTAAAGAGTGATTGATGTGTGTTATTTTAAAAATACAAAATACTTAAGATTTTAAAATGTTCCTAATGTATTGAAACTATCTTAAGAAGCACTTTTTAATATTGTGGCTATATAATTCCATTAGAATTCTCTCATTTTTCTTCCTTAAAAAATTTTATTAACTTGAAATTGTAAAACTTGAAAGACTGTTTAACATGTTTTGTCATTAAATATGAAATATGCATTCACTATCATAAATGCATCTGATTCTAAAATATGGATTTATTTTGATATCTTGATTCTGTTTATTTTTGTCCCTTTATTTTTTAAACTTTTATAAAGGTATCGCCTGGCCGGCATGGCTCAGTGGTTGAGCATCGACCCATGAACCAGGAGATCACGGTTCAATTCCCAGTCAGGGCACATGCCCGGGTTGCAGGCCCGATCCCCAGTGTGGGGTGTGCAGGAGGCAGCCAAGCAATGATTCTCTCTCATCATTGATGTTTCTATCTCTCTGTCCCTTCCTTTCTAAAATCAATGAAAAATATTTTTAAGAAAGGTGTACATAGATACAATTTTAAAAGGAAAATTATTTTCAAGGCTTAAAATTAAGAGCAGCAGCCCCTGACTCAATCTTTCTCTCCTGAGTCATCTTCAGTGTAACCACTTTTCAGTCGTCTAACTTGTTCTCCTAGTATTTGTGATCGTGTTTCAGAATAACATTCTTACCCTATGATTAAATTATTTTTCAGCTTTCGGTATTACCTATTAATTTCCTACATTTAATAATGAATGAAGTTTAGCTTTCACACCCTTCCTCCCTGACACCTTCACTCATTTTGGTAGGATCAATATTCAGAGTCTATGACTAAGTACATCTTTTTTACAACTGATCTGTACGATACGATAGGTGTTCCTTTGTTGTCTACTTTGTTGTTTCTCCTGAAATTAATAACTCTCTCTTTTTCATTTGCTTAGTTTTCTGTTTTTGTTCAAATCTTGGGCCAAATGGGTATATTTCTCTGATGACATTTAAACAAATCAGATAGTTTTTTTCTTAGATACATCTCTCCTGGATGCCTTTTTCACCTTGCTCCAGTCTAGACTGGCTCATGGCTGCTGCCCTAGAAGATCCCTCTACCATCATCATGTACATTCCCTTGCTTTTCTCTGTACTGGATCCTTTGTTTCCTGGACTCCAAATTTTCCTCTTTCCTGTTTTATCACACCTTTGGGAAGTGTCTAGTCTACTAGCTTCCTAGTAAAAAAAAAATGCAGAGGAGATCATTTTTTGTCTTTCCATTTCCAAAAATGTTTTTATTCTATCCTTACCTTTGTTCAATAGTTTGGCTGAGAATAGAATTCTAGTATGCAAATAATTCCTGCCCCCCCCGCCCCCCGCCCGCCCCACCTCCAGTCTTCTGGAGGCATTGCTTTATTGTCTTCTAGTTTCCAATTTTGCCATTAAGGTTTCCTATGCCATGCTTTGTATGTGGCCTTACATCAGAGTTCCAGGATTTCCTCGTTGTTTTCATAGTTTTGAAATTTCATGACTACAAGCTTTGAAATGGGTCTTTTTTCATTTACTATGTTGGATACTTTAGCCCCCTAATATGGAACCTCATGTTTTTCACTTCTGTGTCCTTTTCTACTGTTATTTCTTCAATGGTTTCCTCCCCATCTCTTTCCTGTACTTTCTTTGTTAAGCTGCTATAATCAAAGTTGGACTTCCTGAAGAAATTATTGAAATTTTCATCTTATTTCCTTCACGGTCATACATTTATTTTTTTAAGAATTTTCCTCAACTTTGTCTTCCAGTCATTCTGTTGCTCCCCCCTCTTCATTTCAATGGTTATAATTTCTAAGAACTCTTCACTGTTCTTTGAATATGTATTTAAAAAGAACATATTTTTGAGGACCTTACTGATTTTTAATTTTTTTTTTCTGTCTCTACATTGTCAATATTTTCCCTTTCCCTCTCTCCCTCGCTCCCTCCCTCCCTCCCTCCCTCCCTCCCTCCTTTCCTTCCTTTCTTCCTTCCTTCCTTCCTTCTTTCCTTCCTTCCTTCCTTCATTCATTCCTTCCTTCCTTCCTTCCTTCCTTCCTTCGTCCCTTCCTTCCCTTCCCTCCCTCCCTTCCCCCTTTTGTAGAAGTGTTTCTTAAAAGTCTAAAGATCCTTGACTGCTGACTTGTAAGAGTATCTACCATGTGATCTGGAAGGGGTGTGTGTGTGTGTGTGTGTGTGTGTTTGAGAATCAGTGCTAGATGAGCACTAGGCTACCTTACCCCAAAGCTGCTCAAACTTCAAGGTGCCCATGAGTCAGCTTGGATCTTGTTATGTAGACTCTGATTGGTGGATCTGGGTGGGTCTGGAGAGTCTCAATTTGCAGAAGCTCCCAGGTGATGCAACTCTGCTCCTCTGAGGAACGTACTTTGAATTGTAAGAAGGTGGCAATATTCAGAAAAATTTGTTCATGCTCCAAATTGTGTTATTTTTAAGAGTAAGAGTGTGGCAGACATGCCAAACTTCCTTACACTGAATTGCCATGATCTCTTACAGATAATTACTGACCCATGATTTTGTACTTTATTTGCCTCTGCTGGTGTCCCAGTGGGTACCTTGTTCTTACATCTGAGAAGGCTGGCATTGCAGACAGGTATGTTTCCATTAAACTCTCTGGGTCAGCGCTGAGAGGGCTCTTGAAAGCCAAAGGCACTCTTCACAGCCCCTCAGGGTTCCTCTAACTTGGGGACTTGGTGTATTTCTAATGCCATCCAGCCCTGAGTAATTGGGACTTCATTTTTAAGAGTGCTGCTCTGAAGTACTTAGCTTTGAAGAATATTCAAGGGTCCATGACTGGCTGGAAGGCAGCATGTGGACTGCAGGACTGATTTATGGGGCTTCTCCCTGCCTGTTCAGCTGGGAGTCACTTGCCAGATACTCAAACAGAAGTATGGCTCTTGGTGGTGATAAACATTCTGAGAAGAGGGTGTGAAATGTGACTGAGAAAGGAACTGGAAAAGAAAGTGACATTTTACTTACTGAGCTACATTCCGCTTCTATCTGTGAGATGGTGGGCATCCCTGCTTTGGGTGGTAGGTAGATATAAAAACACAAGGCTCTGGGTTACCATGCTGAGGGCGAGCAGGAGATTTTTACAAAGGCTGCTTCTAGAATTTCAGAAGGATTGATTCATTTTATGATACAGATTAGATGGGGATATCTCCCTGTACAGACTGATTGTGTTTCATTTTAATTTCAGTCAACTTATTTATTCATTTCCCAGGACCAGGTTGAGTAGCCATTTTTTTGAGTTGAAAGACATTTTATATGAACTATTTGTCTATATTTGCATATTTGAGAGAAATGGCTTCTGTGAAATTTGAAATGATGGCTCAGATTAGTTTTGCAATTATCGAACCACTAGGTTAAGGAGCCCTTTTCCTTTAAGTGTGGGTTCAGACCAGCAGCAGCAGCTCACCTTGAAACTGATTGAAAATGTAAATTCTTAACTTCTACTCCAGACTTCCTCAATGAGAAATCTGTGTCTCTCCCCACCCCCACCAAGATCTGCACCTTTATTATATATCACCTCAACCAATTATAGAAGTGTATAAAGTAAAAAGTGAAAGCCCTAACTGGTTTGGCTCAGTGGATAGAGCGTTGGCCTGCGGACTGAAGGGTCCCAGGTTCAA